TCAAACCTGCTTGTGTATTTTTCGCCGTGCAGACTCGGCAACCCACGTAAAAATCGTCAAAGATTCGACGAGAAATCAAGATATTCAAACAAACTAATAACCTGCTCTTCTGGTTTCATCCCACATAAACCTCCAGTTTTCAAACTCAATGCCGGCGCGGCGATAAAGTGCAAGCGGTGAATGGGATTGGAAGCCAGACGATGCAAATCGACTGTAGGTCTGCCATGCTGTTTCGTAATTTAATACGCTGTCTCTTGCAGAATACGTACCAGGGTCAATTACACTAGCCTACATAGTCTCAGTTAGTGGTATTTACTTACACGTAAGAATGTCTGAATCTAGTGAACGAGATGCACCTATCAATATATTAGCCTTACTCTCCACACTTTTACCGGCACTGTCCAAAAATGACATAAACTAAAAAACTGAAACTGATAAGATTCGCAAACAAGTATGAGGCCAAATAATTGGATACAATTGAGATATATCTAATTTTTCATCGTGATGACATTCGCAGAGCGACGAATCGTGTTCATGAAGTAAGAAATGCTCTCCATGAATTCCGCAATGAGCAATGGAACTCCTCTCTGGAAAGTGGCGAAGTCGCTCAGAAACGGAAAGCGAGAACGACTCCCGCACATCCACGGTCCTCGGGGCATAGTCTTCAGGACAGAGGACAAGGTCGAGATTTTCGCTGACGCTATGGAACGACAGTTGTCTCCCAACTATGATCTTGATAATGATCTCGATGAGGAGCAATAAATCGTAAGATCCGTCAGGAGATATTTTAGGGCCAACGGCGTCAGCGATCCCGGCGCCGCCATTAGTGATTCTTCCTCAGAAGATTCTTTTTCGGAAGATTCTTCAGCCTAAGAGTTGCACAGCGCATCAGCGGCTTCTCTCGAGATCCTGCATTGCACACCATCAGAGCTCCAAGGTCATATTAAAGACCCCAAGGTGCGTAAAACGCCTGGGGAGGAGGAACTAATAAGGAGCTGAAGCTGCTCTCTCGGAAGTCCTTGACTAATCTCGTGGCTATCATCAATGTCATGCTAAGGACCCAGTACTTTCCATCGGCGTGGAAGACTGCGGAAGTTATAATGATTCCAAAGAAGGTGCGTTCGATATTTCCCCAGGACTATCGTCCCATCGGCCTACTGTCTGCTCCGTCTAAGCTTGCTTCAGATGAATCTCAGCATAGCACGTCAACGGAATCCTCTTAGATTAAGTTTTGCACACCAGCAGAGCTCGAAGGCCACATTAAGGACCTAAAGGTGCGTAAAGCACCTGGAGAGGATCAAATCACCAACAAAGCACTGAAGTTGCTTTCACTCAAGGCTTTGACTTATCTGGTGGCAATAATCAATGCAATGCTCAGAACTCATTACTTTCCTAAGGCGTGGAAGGTCGCTGAAGCCATCATGATCCCAAGGAAGGCAGTTTCGATATTCCCCCAGGATCACCGTCCCATTAGTCTGCTGTCAGCTCCGTCTAAGCTCGTTGAAAAGGTGATTCTACGTCACCTTGCGAATTTCTCGTCAGATCACCATGTGATTCCTGACGTGCAATTTGGATTTCGGTCTGAGCATAGTACAGAGTTACAGGCGGTTAGGATTGTGGAGCGAGTAACCAGGGGCTTCACCCTTAACGAAAGTACTGGCACCTTGCTTCTGGATGTCTCGGAGGCATTCGACAAGGTATGGCACAAGGGCCTTCTCTATAAACTGATTCAAAAGGGCTTTCCATTTTGGCTCCTAAAACTTTTGAAATCCTTTCTTGAAGGTAGGAAATTTCGGATCAAAATTAATAATTTCTTGTCGACAGTACGGCCCATGAGACCCGGCGCCCCTCAGGATTCGGTTCTAGGGCCAGTCCTTTACTCACGTTCCACGCATGATGTCCCTTGCCCTAGCGTTACAAAGTGCGGTGGATGAGGTATTGGAATGGGCAGAATGGTGGCTAATCAAAATTAATTACTCGAAAACGCAGGCTACCTATTGTACTAAAAAACGTAGCGGCGCCCCGCCTGAGGCTTCAGTGAATGGAGCTCGCATACCATGGGGAAATTCTGCTAAGTATCTCGGTGTCACTCTTGACAGAGGGATGGCCTGGCAGAATCGCACTGAAGCGTTAAAAACTAAATTCCAAATTACTACGTAGAACCTCAAAATTAAGTTTGGTTATCAAAGTTCGGCTATACAAGATGGTGATCAGACCAGCAACCACTTACGCATGTGCAGCATGGTGTTTTCTTGCCAAAACGCATATATGCATATCTGGAATTTTTGCGAACCATGACTAACGCACCATGGTATGTCTCCAACGAGATCCTTCACAGAGACCTCGACATCGCTTACGTAAGGGACTACATCAAACATCAGACGCAGTTACGTTATAGTCAAGCGGAATCGCACAGCAACCCTCTGTTGCGTGAGTCAGTAGACTACATAGTCGAGCAAGTTCGCAAGCACATAAGACCGCGGCTCGGACTGTGATCAAAATCAAATCATGCAACTCTAGATCCAACCAAAATTACGATTTTTGCCACACACAAATTCCTAAATTAATTTTTGGATTAACCGAATACCAGTTAACAATAGCAAGGCATCCCTTTAACCGGCGTAGTTCACCCTCTTTGCTCTTCCCCCTTCCTTCCTTTCTTCTTCCTTTCTTTCTCCCTTACTTCGTCTGGTCATCCTACGATACTTTAACAAAGGGCGAAGGTCCAACGGACCGCTCTGACGAATAATGACGAATAAACATATCTAATTTTTCTCCATTTGATAATAGCAACTCAAAAAATAAATATTATTGTGATCGGGGTACGATAACCTTGTCTTTCAGTCAAACTTTGAATTTGAAAGTTAATAGAGAAACAACGTATAGATTTCAATGACTAATTCTTATTCGACAAATAAAACACTGCTTTATATACTAAGTGACATATAAATCCGAACACCCAGTTTAAATGGTTTCATTTTAATAAAATTTTGCATAAGTACTTAATGAAGCATAATAAGTAAATGATAAAAATTTCAAAATGATTGCACTGCTTTAAAGCCCTTTGACCTTTAATAATGCGTGGATGCACCCTGATGTGCTACGTATTCTCCAACGCGCCTAGGCATGCTTCTGATCAGGTGGTCAATGTCCTCCTGTGGTATCTCATTCCAGGCAACCACCAACTCCTCTCGAAGTGCTTCTAGAGTCTGAGGAGGACGTTGCAAATTGAGCGATCTCCTACCCATCATATCCCACACGTGCTCAATTGGGGATAAGTCGATCTTGGTGGCCATGGTAACAATGTGACTTCATTATGTTGAAAGAAGTCTATTGTGACTCTTGCAACATGTGGTCGGGCATTATCTTGTTGGAAAGTTGGATCTGCCAGGGTGTCAAGATAGGGTAAAAGATGGGGTTCTAGAACTTCGTGGATATAACGCTGTGCGTTCATGTTACCTCTGATGAAGATTGAAGGTGACCTGGAACCATAAGCTATACCACCCCAAACCATAACTCCAACAGTGTGATGAACATGTCTTTCAACAAAAAACTGTGGATTCCTCCTTTCACCACGTCGCCTTCTAACCCTGGCACGACCATCGTGCATGCCTAAACAAAATCGAGACTCGTCACTAAACACAATACTGTTCCATTCCTGATCCCAGAGTGACCGTCGTCTGCACCACTCAAGGCGATTATGTCTGTGTTCTCGAGTTAAAGGGAGGACCCAGTGTGACCGGTATGAAAACAAGCCAAAACTTATCATTCGTCGGTGAACACTTCGCATGCCAATAGGTCTTCCGTGTTCTGCAAACCATTCATTTGCAATGGACCTGGTAGTGGAGAAACGGTCCCTTAAGGCCAATAATCTTAGGCGGCGATCTTCACGGTGTGTTGTTCTACGGCGGCGTCCAGTGCCCCTTGCTCTTTGCGTACGGCCTTCTCGAAGCCATGCCTGACAACACCTACCACAGTGTCTACGCTTCTTTGCACTCTAACTGCAATTGCCCGAAAAGAAAGTCCAGCTTCCCGAAGTCCCACTATACGGCCCCTATCAAACTCACTAAGTTGACGAAATCGTACAGGTCTCCGTACTCTAGGCATCGTAACCGATCGTAAAGGATGTCAAGAACCAAAATCCGCCAACGTTGATTCTTTACTGCGGCTGAAATATTCATTTTTGGAGCGTTAGTGAATTAAAAAAAAGCAGTATAAAAACCGGAATGTCCAACTGATAAGACTGAACATTTTTTCACTTGTTATTTACAATAAGATATATACATTCACCAACTTTTATTAAAATAAAACCATTTAAACTGGGTGTTCGGATTTATATGTCACTTAGTATATTTCTCAGATATTTATCATTAAAAGAACATTATTTACTAAATTTTCTTTTCAGTTTCCTTTTTGCAATCGTGACATACCTGCCTGTGTTCTTGTACTCAACGCAATGAAAATTGTTTTTGTTTCTCATCAGCAGTGATTAAGCCGTTTAAGTCTTGCATTTACTTGATTGACTGCTCTTTCTGCTCTCAGTCTTTACACCTTATTCTTAGCGCGTTGAAAAAAATCATTATGTGGCCATGAAGTTGGATACTCTTCAAGAAAACTGTCAGCAATTTTGAATCGAATGAACATGGTCTGTAGTAGTGGTGTTCGACGACGCCGCAAAACTGCCAGAAGCTTAAATCGCAGCCGTGGAAACCTTGACTTTGCCCGGTGTTATCGAAAGCAACAACGAACTTTGGCAATGATTCAAAGTACCCTCATTTTTGCTAATAAATCTTTAGCCACTGCAATGATTTTCATAAATATGGCAAAAGAAATAATCGTATCATACACCAAATATAAAAATTGGTTCTGTAGACACTGAGATCATGCGCGCGGAATTTTTGGTTTTCAAATCGGTAGAAAATAGGAAACATGGTATTTTGTTGTTCATATTTGCAAAATTATATGTCTACAACGTAATGTAACACTATTGTTCTTTCTAGGCCTCTGTGAGGTGAAAAATGGGTCATCAACTATCATCGTAGATATAGAAGAAAGCCGAGGAACATGTAAGTATTACTCTTTACGAATCTATTGTAAACCCGCATTTGCTTATTGTGTATCGTAACAATGCAGGCGAGTACTTATCTAGGCCAATCACACCGAATGCCGTCTTTGTTGTTTATTGTTTTTGCGACTAGTATTTATTTGAATTAGTGCTCTCAATTGCGCGTTACAGCCAGCAAAAAATGACTCACACTTTTACACTTGCCGTTCAATGAGTGAAACAAAAGCCATCAACTTTAGTAGTATCAGTTTGTAGTCCACGTTATGTAATTTCCAATTTATTACTATCTTGACGTACTTAAACTGACCCAGTTTTTCATTTCAATTTAGTCTCATTTTCTTCGAAAATTAGCTGTACGCAAAATTCGAAGCACAAACACCAACTAATCACCTAATAACACTGTACTTTAGTTTGATAAGATAAACAAAATGACACAATATAACGAGTAAACTGCACGGTAGCTCGTAGATGTGGCGTCGAAAATTAATTTGCTATGCTGATTCTGTGGTCACATCGAAAACGTTTGTTGCTAACAAGTATTACATAAAAAAATTATGGCAGCGTGAAGACGGAATATCTTCATTTCAACTTGATATATATATATTTTGAGACGTGGTCATTGTCGTCTAGACCAGTTAGGTGAAAAATTAAAGCTTCCTCCTTTTGTTGGGTACTTCGACAAAATTTAAGCAAAGAGGACTGTTTATACTTTTTTTAATTCTCTCTAGCTTTCAATGGACTTTGCCATCATCATCAGGAGCTGCAATTACAATGATAACAGTAGCAACAAAAGTGTAAAATGAATTTAAATTGACACAACTTACAGTAGTATGTGAGGATGTTGCTAATTGTTGTTTACATATAGGATGAGGGAAATGTCCAGTAACATGGTGAGAGCTGGATAGATGGTACAATGGTCAAAATTATATAAAATATGACAAGAACAAGTTAAAAACAGATTAAAAATTATTTAAAAAACATTAGCGCATTACATCGTGAAGCCACTTGATGATTGCACAAAATGGTGGTCATGGAATAATGAGTGAGATGAACCCTTTGACAGAAGGCCGAAGGTTGTCAATGTCTGTGTTGAAAGATGGAACGAATTGTGGACGTGTGCCAAACGTTGCTAAATCACTTCAGATGATGTGATTTTCAGAATGTTATGTAAGAAATTGTTAAACCGACCAGAGGCAGTTGAATTAACTATATTATAATTAATGGGAATTTAAATTAACAATTATTAATAAATCGTGAGAAGAGAATTATAAGATTTTGAGTGGAATGAAGTTTACTGATGGAATCGGCCAAAACACAGATTCTATTTATGGTTGTGAAGAGTCGAGTGTTTTGGCCGATTCCACCAGTAAATTTCATTCCACTCAAAATCTAATAATTCTCATCTCACGATTTATTAATAATTGTTAATTTAAATTCCCATTAATTATAATATAGTTTATTCAACAGCCTCTGGTCGGTTTAACAATTTCTTACATAACATTCTGAAAATCACATCATCTGAAGTGATTTGGCAACGTTTGGCACACGCCCACAATTCGTTCCATCTTTCAACACAGACATTGACAACCTTCGGCCTTCTGTCAAAGGGTTCATCTCACTCATTATTCTATGACCACCATTTTGTGCAATCATCAAGTGGCTTCACGATGTAATGCGCTAATGTTTTTTAAATAATTTTTAATCTGTTTTTAACTTGTTCTTATCATATTTTATATAATTTTGACCATTGTGCCATCTATCCAGCTCTCACCATGTTACTGGACGTTTCCCTCATCCTATACGTAAACAACAATTAGCAACATCCTCACATACTACTGTAAGTTGAGTCAATTTAAATTCATTTTACACCTTTGTTGCTACTGTTATCATTGTAATTGCAGCTCCTGATGATGATGGCAAAGTCCATTGAAAGGTAGAGAGAATTAAAAAAGTATAAAGAGTCCTCTTTGCTTAAATTTTGTCGAAGTACCCAACAAAAGGCGGAAGCTTTAATTTTTCACCTAACTGGTCTAGACGACAATGACCACGTCTCAAGTTATATATATATAGATATATGATATAATTTCTAGTAAAACAGCTTTCGTTGGTGAGATCACAGACGGCCAACCATGGACAACTGTTTTGTGTTATTTGGTAACTCTTCAGCATAGTGTATGCGACTACGATCTAAAGCTGAGCGATTAGACTCTATCCGGAGTATAAGGCAATGATCGCCAGCCTTTAAATGAAATTATACACGGTTGTATGCGACATACATGTGTTTATTTTACTAATACTAATACATACTAATAAACTTAAATAAACTTATAACTAATACAAACTACATCCATTCCTACGAATCGTAGGTGTTTGAAAAATAAACAAAATTTTTCGTCAGCTACAATGGCATGTTACATACGATTTAATAAAGGTAACTAGATAAAGGATGCATGTTCAACGAGAAGCATGACACTCAGACTCATTGATAATTTTTATCCAAATTAATTATCTATTATCCCCAGCACACAGCGTCATCTTTTACCAGAATCGACCATTACGAAAGTGAAAGCAGCAAGCTGCCTTTTGAAACTGTAAAGCTATACTACTATCTGCTATAGCTCCAGCATCGGCGGCATTTGGCGGCCACATTAGTGACCACGATGACATTGAAAACTGGCATACAGTTCCAACTGACACCTTGATGTTTTCACTTTTGTCTTGGTTGATTCTGGTAATAGATGCCACATAGTGATGTCTTGTTTCGATGGTTATTTCTATTCGCTTTGCCCGAATGCGAATTTGTTCGTTATGATTTAAGTGATGATAGACGAGATGAAAAATAAAAGCTGACGACGTATTGATTAAAATTAACGATAAAGCTAGATTGTTATCGAAGTAACGGATTTCCGGGTGCTCACTTCTTGAATCGCCTTTGCACTAAATCTTACTAAAACGGTCAAGAGAAAGAGCTGGAAAGTATTTTCAAGTTTCTCAAATGGCCACTAGGGGGCGTAATTGCAATCCTGAATATAAAAAAGTGTTTCTGTGAAGTTAGCTATATTAATTTAACAAAAAAATTACCTGATCATTAATGTCGAGAATAATGTGAACTTTTTTGTTTGAAAATTTTTCCTGTATATCTAAAAATAAAGTGGTGGGGTATTCAAAGGCTTCCGTAAGAAACATCCTATATCCTAGAAACGGCTGATTCGATCTTAATAAGCTTGGGCTAGTTGAAAAAAGCTATCCCTGGGCTACAAATGTTATAATACTTGAAGATTTGTTAGTTCCACATGTCGCCGCTAGACGGCTTCTTTTGACATTCCGACAGAAATGCTTAATTTTCTCAAAAAAAAAAAAATTAAATACATTGGTATGATTTTTAATGAAAAAGTAGCTAAATGATGTCTAAGCAAGCTCGCGAAGACCGCATCTCGATATCTTCTTCCTAACCTAAAATTTAGGTTAGAAAATCTTGTAGGGAAATCCCTTAAATTTTTAGTTCTTTAAACAGATTTATCTGGAATTTGTTTTTATTATTAAGTTGTGGCCCTAAAAAGGACCGAATTAAAAAATGTAAATGCTAGAGATGTTGACCATCATGTTGGGTAGACAAAACTTATTTAGGGCTAAGAAGTACTTCTCCCCGCATCAAAAATCGGATTAACAAAATAAATTCCTTTGGCAGCACTTAGGCTTCTTACCTTCTTAAAGGTACATTGCAACACATTCAAGTTGCTCAAATTTTTGACATTTGCATATTCCAATAGTCCTTATATGCTTCTCAGTTGATACTACAGGGTGGGCCATAAAAATGTTGTCGATTTAAATCTTAAATTTCTCGGAAACGCGGAGCCCGGGTTCAAGGAGAAATAAGCTGTTAGCCGCGCCGTTGCCTGGAAATTTAGTCGCCATGGAGCGCAGCGTGCATTTTGTGTCCAAACGAATTATGAAAACAATAACTCGGTTATTACTGCACGACCTGTAGTGTATTAAAATGACCGATAATTTGTTCTTAGTGCAATTTTTTGCTTATTGAATAAAAAAAATGATTCTTCGCACTTTTCAACATAAAAAAGCTCTCTTGTGAATTTTCGTTATAGTTAGCCGTTTTTGAGATACTTCGATTTTTAAGGTTCGATGCATTTTTAATTATTTAAGGGAAAATAATATTTTTTTTTACATTTTCGATTTGGGCATTACAAGTAAGATGATCGTTTAGCTTCTGTTTTTAAACACAGCAATAATTTCTAACTCCAAATAAACACAAAAAAACAGACTATTAATTTGTTTAATTTTCCAATATTATTTTTACCAAATTAAATTAATTATTTACAACTAAAATGCTATTGGATAGTTAGGACAAACATACAAAATCTAAAGTAGTTGCTCGAAATGTAAACCCAATTGTTCAATACACAATTAACATCTACGAATGATCGAACGTGGTATAGCATTATTCAAATAAGGCCTTATTTCATCACATGCATTCCTGATTCTGTCTATTAGCATATCTCTTGAGGTTACGGGAGTCTGGTACACTTTTTCTTTTAGAAATCCCCACACAAAGAAATCTAATGGATTTAGGTCAGGGGATCGTGGAGGCCAGGCGACTGGTCCTCCACGGCCGATCCATCTTTCTGTATAATTTTCGTCCATCCAGTTTCTAACTATTCTCGAATAGTGAGCTGGACAACCATCAATCTGGAACCAGGCCAATCTTCTTAAATCTAACATAACATCATCCCACATATTTCCATGTTCAGCCTTTAAAAATTCCAAGAAGGTCGCAGCATTTAACCTTGCAGGCAAAAGGTAGGGTCCAAATAGTCGTTAAATTCATGCTGAAAATTTCTTTCTCGAACTGCATGCGGATTTTCACGCGACCAAATATGTGGATTTTTATAAATATTACAAAAAAAACAGGTAAAAGAAACTAAATTTCGTGCAAAAAAACATTTCAGGTTTCAACAGACAACAAAACTAACTGTCAACTAATTG